AGTACCTGATTCATCAACCTCTGAAAAGTGCTGGGGACATTGGCTAGGCCGAATGGCATCGTCTCGAACTCATAGAGACCAGAGAGGACCTCGAAGGCAGTCTTTTCCCTATCAGAGGGACGCACTTCGACTTGCCAGTATCCTGAATCTAAATCAGGCGTCGAAAACGTAGTATTGCCCAGGAGGGCGTCCAAGGTGGTATCTTCCCCTGGAAGAGGGACGGAATCTTTCTTAGTCACAGTGTTTAGCTTCCTATAGGCAATGCAGAATCGCATTGAGCTGTCCTTATTTTTTACAAGTACAATGGGCGAATGAAAGGGCCTTACGGCTATGTATATCACTGATAAGGGCATCTAGTTCCTTCTGGTAAAATATTGCAAGTCGCCTGGGAGGCATCCTGATGGGTTTCGCATCCCCCGTGTCGATGCAATGCTCCGTCACACCTGTCCTCCCCTTGTACTTGCTATCCCAGTCAAAGATATCCTTAAATTCGTTTATTAACTGGCTGAGCATCCTGGCGCTACCTTCGTCGAGATGTGCCAGGACTAGATCCTTAACATCAACACCAACTGTACAAGTGGGGTAGCCGCCGTGGCTTAGGAATACTGCTAAGGAAAGGCACAGTGACCGTGGCGGCCCGTAGAAAACGCTTACAAAAGTCAAGGGAACAGTTAAATTTATTCAAAAAGTCGAACCTAACTGCTTTCTAGCCTGTCTAGATTCAGTCGCCTGAGTCGGCTTACTTCTTGCAGTCCGTACGTGGAAACGGTGTAAATAAGTGCAGAATTGTACGGGAACACGGTTCTATAACTGACATGATTAGCAAGATTTAAGTGCTGCACTTACAACCGAATGTCTCCACAGAAAGATGTGGCGTATAGTCAAAAGGCCAGCGTCAACTTGCGCGGAGATTCAAACAAATAGTACAGAAGACCATAATTTTCCGAGACAAACAAAAAATTTAATTATACAGTAAAAAGGTGTCAAAACAGGGACAGCATACGTGGGGACGTACCCTGCTGACGTTTCAAAGCGCAACGAGCGTCAGAAACTACTAAGCATGAAAGACTAGTATTATCTACAAAACCTTTGACTAAAGGACAAGTAGTGGCATCTAGGTATGAAACAACGGTATCTGATACAACATAGTACTTACCGCTATTGTCCTATGGGCCGACCTCGATTGACTGGATAGGCCGACGGGTCTGGGGACCATTGGGGCGAGGGGACGGTTGTGGGCGCCAATTGTTCTGCCGTGGGGAAAACGATCCACAGGAGCGCATGGGCGCCAAGGGGTTTGGGTGCCGATGTCAACGGTGAGGTTCGGGTGCACGGAGGT